CTCTTATAAGGATTAAATTTTTGTCATATCTTCAAGTCTTCCTATTTCAATCTTGACTCTTCAATCCTTATCAATTGTGATTCTTCCTCTAGTGATTGATACACTTGCATTATCCATTATTACCTTAAATCAACTAATTTACCTGCAAAATAAACCAAATAACTAGAAAAAGTATCAAACTAGAAAATTAAGGAATTTAACACATTTAATCAAAAATAATATGAAACTAACCAATCATTAAATATAATAAAATAGCAATTTTGATGGTTAATCAGTATGTGCATACCGAGGATTGTTGGCGTGCCCTAATCGCTCGAGCCTAGACGAACCGTGCGGTGGGGAGGACCAAGTAAAGCTACACTAGACGTCGGAGAGGTATTTGCGGTGGAGGAACATAGCAAGGAAAGGAGAATCAAACTATGGTATTGGTTGGGGTATAAGTCTTGAGTACATGTATGTTTATTATGATAGTAGTGAATTAAGTTTTGGTGAACCCCAAGTGATTCCTCGCGGTTTTTTTCGAGGAGGATTTTCCACGTCAACAAATTAGTTGTGTCTCTTATCAATTACTATACCCACTTTCAATTGTTAGCACATACTCGCAGTATGTGTTTGATGTTTTGATTGTTTGATATCATATTATCCATAGTTCTCCAATAGGGTTTTGGAATTTGGGATCGCCGTGAGATTGATTATGAGTGAATTAATTGCATATTAATTAAAATCAATTGTCATTAAAGGAGGTTGTGATGACTAAAGGGGTTCTCACATTCATTGCATCGTATTTGTAAGATTAAGTAATTGTGGTAGACACAAGTTTTAATTTGTAATCAATTTGGGCTAAAATTAAAAAAAAAAATTCACCCCTGGGTATAGTATCTTGATCTCCACGTGTCTCATCGTGAGGGAAGATCTACATCGGTTTCCCCTCCCAGAACAACATGATCATAGTCCAGTTATTGTCAAGATGGGACAAAAATCTAGGCCTAAAAAATTCCCTTGAATTTCATCAATTTCATTGCCCAGAGGGGATTTTCCACAAATTGTTAACCAAGTATGGAAAAATCATACCACAAGTACTAATCAAATCCAAATATGCCAAAAACTCAAACTCCTCAAAGGTGAGCTCAAAAAGCTCAACAGAATGTAGTTAGGGGATGTTACTATCAGAGCTAAGGAAGCTAGGGATACATTCATTGACTATTAAAGAAAATTGGATCCCTTGAACCATACTTTGAGATATTAGTAGAAGGAGTTGATCAAAAAGTTGGCTGAGGCACTCAAAACAGAGGAGGAATTCTTAAAACAAAAGTCTATATGACAATGGCTCAAAACTGGTGACCAAAATACCTTGCTCTTTTTCAAAACTATCACAAGCGTGAGAACCGACTCCAAAAAAATCACCATTAGGAAAGAAGATGGGACTTTGGTTGAAGGGGACCTATAGGTCAAGGTTGAGGCAGTATATTATTTCCAAAGTCTTTTGGAAAAAAAAAAAAACCACTCTCAGACTGTTGATAAAACAACTATACTTAGTGACATAATTCAAAATAGAATGTCATATGACCAAGCAAATGTACTTTTCAAGGAAGTCATGGGTGAAGTGATTAGGAATAAAGCACCGAGACTCAATGGCAATAAAACCCATAAAGCCTTGGAACCTGATGGCCTTAATAGGTTCTTTTTTTAGAAATCCTGGCCAATAATTGGAGATGAGGTAATCTCTGAAGTTTAGGATTTTTTTTGTCACTGGTAACATGCTCAAAGAGATAGATTCTATAATCATCTAACTTGTTTCAAAAGAGCCCAGTCCCTCTACTATGAGTGACTTTAGACCAATATCCTATTGTAACCCCCTCTATAAGATCACATCAAAGATCATTGCAAATAGGGGACTAGGCACCCTCTATAAGATCATATCAAAGACCAATATCCTATTGTAACACCCGTACCAATTTAAAAAAACTTCATCCATCCCTGATTCACCCCCGTTAATGGGGTATAGTTTTCATCATCATCCCTGTCTGAGGGTAACTTTGTAATCTCTGCCCCCACCCCAATTGAGTCACTATTCAACCTTTTCTCTTTTTTTACTTCCACAATTTTTCTTTCTACATCATTATGCAATAAATTCAAGATTTTTAAGTTTGAGCACAATACAAGAGAGCTGAAGGTATGGCATTGCTAGATGGGATCAAATTGCACATAAGGTTTGGATTGGAGGGGTATAAGCTGCTGGTTGAATCTGATTCTCAGATTCTGGTACAAATGGTAATGGAGAAGATTGAGATTCCATGGACGTTGTCTAGTATTCTGTCCCAAATTTTGTCTTGTTGCAAGGTTTGGATTTTTGGATTTGCCACATTTTCAGGGAATCAAATGTTATGGCTAACTTTCTATCAAAACAGATGGTGTAGGTGAGGGCATATGCTATTTTTTCTCCTGTGGGTTTTATGCCAAGCATGTCGAGGATGTTGATTGTACAAGATCAAAGAGGTCTACTAGTTTTGAGAGTCAAACATTCTTTGATTCATTCTTTTATTTGTGAAGCTGGTTGATTTTGAATTGAGGCATGTGAATAGAGATAGGAGCTTTTTCTAATGCCCTGAATCTGCCTATTGTTGTGCGAATTGTTTTGTTGCAGGATTTGAGGCAACTATCTGATCTTCGATTAAAGAAGGTGCTGGATTTTTTATGATATAGGTTAAGACAAGGGATGCAAATTTTTTTGCAAAGCAGGCAGTTCAGTTGAGGCTTTCTGCTTCAGTTCCATTGCCTTGTGCAGGAAGATGCTATTTGTTCAGATTTGAGTAAGCTGTCAGAGATAAGAGTCTTAATTTTTTGATTCTTTCATATTATCTCTTTTTCTTTTTTACGATTTTGGATTAAAATTTGTTATAAAGGCAAGTTTGTCTATCTTTAATACTTTTTGAGAAATAAAATAAAGTGTTTATTTGTTTGAAAAAAAAATATAAGTTTGAGCACAATGGTATGTGAAATGTCATCTATCAGAGAAAAACCCTCAGCAATTAATATAACGATGCAAAGAGGAGAGAGAGAGAGAGAGACTTACCTAGCCTAGTCAGCCGACAGACAACGCTGAACCTAGGCAAAGTGTGGACAAATCAACAATAGAGATCTACAATCAACAATGATAAAACTTATGTGCTCCTATCTCAACATAAAGGGATCAATGAACAGAGAGCGAGAGAGATAGATGATGGAGAGAGAAAGAGAGAGACAGAGCGTAGGAAAGAGACAGAAGCAAAACGTTCCTAACCTGGACTAGTCAACCGACACCGACAATCAGCGATCAACGGATATATATATATATATATATATATATATATATATATATATATATATATATATATATATATAATAATGGGTATAGCAGGGGCGAGGCAGGAATCCCCGCCTTCATCCTCGCACGGATTTATTTGGGTATCCTTGTATACGTCTACCATCCAATACGTCTACCATCCAATACGAATTGAATACCCGTTTTTCCTTGGTCCATTGCCATAATACGGTCTTGCATCAATATATTTCTCTCTTTTGCAAGAAAGTTACAACTCATTTACTCTATCCTTTCGAGCATTCAAGTCTTTCTTGAAACGAAAATTCCTAGAGCCGTTGATAGTGCGTATGTATCTAATATCAAAAATTTTCCTTTAAACCCCTATAAAGCGGAATTAGGGTTTACCTTCAAGATCCCTCGAGATTCATCTTGTCTCAACACGAATGCAGAACAGAACAAAGAGCAACCGAAAGACAACTCGATATACCTCACAGCCTTCTGTCGTACATCCTCCAACGTCAAAATTCGGATACAGTATAGGCTGCCAAAACCTCCGAATCCTTGATCTCTCTTTCAGCCTCTCTAAAAAATGTGAGAAAAGAATAGATGCTGAATTAGAGAGTCTAGACGTTTATATATAGGCAACGACAGAAACCCTAAGGAGAAATAAGGCCAGACTTCCAGTAGGCTTAAGATTCCTTTGTTCAACCCAGAATAAACACCCTACAGCTCATTAATAATAAGTCAGTCCACTAAAAATTTATTATTGATCTCCTAAGCCTTATCTCAAAATTATATTCGAGCTCATTATTATTATATGCTTAATAATCTTTAAGCGTTTAAGATTATAGATGTTCATCAATTAAATAAATTATTGACAATTATATTTAATTGACTTCTTTTATTCCTTGATACTTTACCACTCAACTTATTTGTCATGTCAAATAATTAAATCCACCTGCAAGGCTTAGCATAGTCAAAACTTATGAGCTTCCTCAAGAGAACATCATCAACCAATTTAAATACTATGACGTGGTTTTCTTTAATATTTAATTTCTACCATACAAATAACATCATCCCCCAATTCACCAAGCTTATTGACTCAATATGAATCTCACTCTTTGATGAATTAAGGTGAAAAATATTATATGCATGTGACAATTAAATATTTTGGGATAAGAGTATAAGCGATCATAATAATCATGAGGTATTTATTATTTTATTGAATCAATAAAATATAATAATTTTAACATGAGTTTGTTCAATACACAAAGTGTATTAGTGCAATAATCCGAGACTTCAAACAATCTCCTACAGTCAAGACAGATTATGCTAGAATATTACATTACAATCTTACCAATGTGGTGTCCAATTCTATCTAGGATTGTGAGCATATACTCATATTATACAAAAGTCTAATAATTTGGTCTTTTTTGTGTATACTGAACTTTACACCAGATTATCTACAATGTAAAATATAAAACACATATGCATACCATGTATTAAATATAATGTAAATAAATATTATTTCAACACAATTTGGATGCTTAATTTGTAAATTTAATGCTTTGTTATCATTAGATCAGTATTAAAAATCTCAGCATTAGATAGAGTCCATTGCAAATTCAACAAACACAATGTATAGGTCCCTAAATTTAGGTCTCAGAAATATTATTGCATCAGAGTATCCAATGTTCCTCTATAAAAGCCTTGCAAAGACAACCAATGCCACCAAACACAATGCAGACGCCCAGCCAAAAAGGACTCCATTGCACCCAACACCAGCACTACTCATATGCATCAATGACACAGGCCAATCCAGGCTATCCGGCGCCAATGAATCATAAGAATTGCTGGTTGGAGTCGATACCACCACACCCCTTTGATCTCTCGGAGGCTTGGACTGCGAAATGGGGACTGAAGAAGGCAATGGCGACGAATTTGGTGCAGAAGAAGGGGTGTTTTCATGGACGATGACGGAAAACTTCTGTCCTAAGTAACAGTAGTTTGAGACGCTACATATGAAATAGGAGATGCCTTCCTCGATCAGATTAACAATTGCTGGTCCATCAGTGAATGCCTTGAAGGGTTGGTTTGCAGTGCAACTGTCGTACTCTCTTCTTGACACTTGCATTACGTTGTGAAACTCAAACTCGAAGTCAAAATCTGCACGGCAAAAGAAGAAAATATTCAAACGTTGGTGGAAAAAAAATGTTTCTTCAGCAATATAAGAACATCCATCACCAAAAAAAACACTGTCTGCAACATGATTTTAGGAATTAGGGTTCCTTACGATGGTGGTAGTACATGTACCTCGTCATTGATAAGTGGAATCACAATGTAATAACAACAAACCACATATTTATACACCACATATACACATATACTTGTGCAGGAGATAGATACGATTATATGAACTTTTGTTATGGAATTGTTTGTATCATATGTACATGATGACTACATATCACCATCATATTAAATATTTACTTGAATTTAGGGTCTGAGAGACTCTGTCTCTCTCTGAAAAATGAAAATCTCTTTGCATAATACAACAGTTATAATTTTTTCAGACCCAATTCTTATATTCGTTCATATGTCTGTATATACAATTAAAGGGGAAGAAAATTCACTTACAGAGGGTGTCGCCTCTTTGGAAAGAATAAAAGGAGGACCAGTTCGTGTAAAAGGCTTGGTTTGGAGGGATGGACCAAAAAGAGTCTCCAACAATGTGTTGTACACCATGTGAGCGACCCAACAACGGAGAAAACACTAGAAGAACTAATGTTAATTTCAAGAAATATGCACTTTGTACTACCATTTTCGGAGAGAGAGAGAGAGATTGGAGTCTAGGATCGAAAACCTACCGTTATTGAATCGGGGATGAAGGCAAGAGGAAACGAAGAGGCAGCGCCTCCCCTAAGGCCCCAATTTAATACATATATTTGGGCCTATTTCCACCCCAATTAAACCTCTAATAAAATTTTAAATTATAAAACTATTAAATTCAATTTCTTTTTATACACTATATGACATAATTTATACAAAAATATACTCAACTTGATTATGTAGTATAAATTTCTCAAATGATATTCAAGTTGCTTTTGATTTCAAGTTTTTGTTTTTTATTATACGTATTTTTTTATCAATATCAATGATTTTTTCATTTAAGGTTTGTATATGATACATATGGGGTTAAATGAGTATTTTGCCACTCTGACATCTCTCTCAGCGATCCTCCACACCCTCCTCAGCTTTGAAGTTTCGCAAAAATCTGAAGTTAAAGAACTATAACACCTGCAGTAGCATAGACACAACAAAAAGGTGAGTTATAATATTGGGTTAATTGTAAATTGCATTCCGAAAAATTGTTTGAATTTAAATTTGTACTACCAAAGATCAAAAAATTTAATTTACACCCTCAAAGATAGAAATTTGTATTTATGTGAACTTAAAACTAACAACTGTCAAATTGTCTTCTAAAACTAAATGGATAAATTATACCTAAATCCCCTCATGTTTATCAGTTAATCATTTAGAGCCCTCATATTTAGAATATTAGTTCTACATCTCCTGACCTTTGTGCATGTGCAACACATAACCCTTTTTCGTTGATATCTATTAATATAACTGTTAAAAAATATAATTTTATTTTAATAAAAAAATTATAATTTTATATTACTCTTTATCTTGTGGGTCCGATATACTCTAAAGTTCAAAATCAAGTTTGTCATTTGAATGCTCAATATAATATAGGTATTTATATAATTTTTTTTATATCCAATGCAATACATCACTTAAACATAATAATTTGAATGCCCAATTGAGGGACATTTGTAGTTATATTTGGATTCTCAGGGAATGTAGGTCTAATATTTCAAATGTAAAGGGTCTAAATGATTTAGTGACAACCTTGAAAGGGTCTAAGTGTAATTTATTCATTTAGTTTTATACGATAAACTGACGATTGTTAGCTTGAGGTGCACATTGATAAAAATTTCAATCTTTAAGGGTGAAAATTAAAATTTTATCTTTGAAAATACAAATTAATATTTGAACGATTTTCGGGATTGATGTGCAAATTGAGATTAACCCTATAATATTTTGTCTTCCGAACATGATTTTTTTTGTCACCAATTCAGGCCTTACCAGTTATGTTTTTTTTTTTTTTTTTTTGACGGAGTGGGGTTTGTTTGATGCCTTAGATACTTACCCTTTTTTTAAATTCAAATTTAAATTTTGATTTTAAAAAAAAAGGGAGATTTGAAAGCAAGTACAATTTTTTAGACTTATTTAAGCAAAAATACAACTCAAAATTTTATTTGGGATAAAGTGCATATTTTTAAAAATGACAATATTGTCGTTCAGTAAATAGTTAATGGGTTGAAACCCTTTATATTCCTTCCATATATTTTGGCTATAATCAAGCACTGAGAGGTAAAATAGGAGCATATTTTCTCTAATAGTTTCTCTCCCTCTCTTTCTTCCTATTTTCTCTTACTCTATTTATATTAATATTACAACAACACAATTACAATAATTAGTTACATCAATCAGTTATAATTGTCTTATAATACATCAAACAATTACTTATACATTCTAATAAACCAAACAGTTACACAAAATAATTACACAAAATTATGACATCAACTTAATTGGTCATTCAGTTGTTTACATAAATCTAAATAGTTGTATCATTTAGTATCGTGGTATCGTTACACCATCATACGTACCTTAACAATTGCATGAGATTGTGATTGTTACACCCATTAAAAAAATAGTTACACCTATTAAAAAACAGTTATACTCATTAGAAAAATAGTTACACTCATTAAAAAAATAGTTACACCCATTAAAAAAAGTTACACCAATTAAAAAAGTAGTTACACCTATTAAAAAACAGTTACACCTATTAAAAAACAGTTACACCTATTAAAAAAAACAAAGAAGTTTTTTTTTCCCTACATCCTAACAACCAACAATACATAATATCTAACAAAACATTTTAATCAATTCTCTTTTTTTTTGGGAGAAAAATTCAGTGTTTATTCACATATAACTTGTGGCACTCTAATCAAATCTCATTGCCATAGAATCTTGTTGCTGAAGAAAAAGGGTTTTGATCGTTAATGCCCCTATTTTACCTCTCAGTACTATTGTTAATTTTTACATATTTGTTTTCTTAAATAATTGTAAAACCCGAGAAAATTTAAACTTTTTCCGACAAAGGGCAAAATAGTAATTTGTTACTATTATACATATTTAAAATAAATATTTTATAGAGCTCGGATGGAACAACGGACTTCACCGTTGAATTCGCATCTCGAAATCTAGTTGCTCTTTCAATTTTCATCGAATTCTGAGATAATCAAATTTTTCACGTTTTTCAAGACGACAGGCATCTGATGACCCCAAAAAATAAAATTTTTATATAAATTTTGAAAGTTGAAAAATATTTTAAATAAAGTTCATATAAAATATTTTGAGTTTAACCCGATATGAAATTTAATCGTTTCGGGGGCGAAAACGGACCCGGACACAGGGGGACACGTGGCACGACTCGGACTAAGCCTTGGAAAAGTATAAATAGGGGTGAAATATCTGAAAAATCAGATATTTCCTACCCATTTGCTTGTTGATTTCAGACATTGGAGGAAGAGAAGAGAGAAAGAGAGTTTTCAAGTTTTATTCCGCCGATTCTCGGAGTCCTGTCGGTTGAAATTCTTCGGGCCAAGAATTAAAGTCGATCTACGCGACGAGGGCTACGCGTAGGTACCAAAAACAACAATTTTCACCGAAGATTCAAAGGCAAATTTTTGAGAAATCAAGAACTTGGAGCTTGTTTTGGTGTTTTTGAAGTCTCCACACTTCAAAGAGGTTGGGTTTTCCTACCTTGGTTCATTTCGTACCTATAGTATATGTAAAATATGTAGGTTATTAAAGAGTATATATATATCACTCACCTATGCATGTGAAAATAGATAAAATGGAAATGAAAAAAGGTGTAGAAATGACTTATGTCAATTTCTAGTTGTATGTGATATGTGAGAATCATTTGTGAAATCCCTTGAAAATTGAATATGTTAGTAGCATGAGCTATGTATAACATGTATGTTGTGAATTGTGATTAAATAGCAAATGTTATTTTATGCCTTGAGGAAGTAGGTGTAGAATGAGTTTGATTCAAGTCCTCCTTTGTTTTGCTATGTAGAAGTACTTGTATAATTTATTGGATAGAAGTTATGTGTGCTTTAATATGTAGAAAAGTGAGTGTGTTTAACTCATACATCAGTGTGTGTGTGTATGTGTTCTTGCTTGTTGGAAACCTAAAGTGAGGGAGATTAAAAGAGAAGGAAGAAAAACTAAGTTTTAGCTCACATTTGATATGTAGAAGCTATTAGTGTAAACTTTTGAAAAATTGGGTTTACATGAATTGTTTTGTGTATTTTAAAATTTTTCTACCATAGTTGGTCGGATGAAAAAATGGCAGGCATATGAAACTATGTAATTCACTTGCCTATGGTTATGGAGTTGGTGTAGAAAGGATATAATCAATTTCTAATTTGAAATTGATGATTTAGTTAAAAAGGGGTATTGAGGATGGGTGGCATGACTTGAAATAAATTATCTTGTTGAATGCACCATTAGTGTATGTTAAGTGTGGAAAAAGGGTGCCTAAATGTGCTAAAGAAATCTTGTAAGAAAGGATTTGCAATGGATATAGAAATTGAGTGAAGAAAAGCCGGTACACTTTTTTGCTCCAGACCAGTTGTCGTAGAATCGTCATGACTTTTGATTCAACCCGTTGGATTGAGCTGAAATTTTGACACAATACAAAAGACATCTAGATCTACAACTTTTGTGTTTTGAACTTTTTCATATTCTAAGTGGATCATGGTGACAATGGAGAAAAACAAAGGTACTTTCACCAGAGGGAGCTAGTGCTGGTGCCTTTGTTACCAAACACCAATATCTCTTTGATTTCTTAACTTCTAAGCCTTCAAATCCTCATGTAATGTGGTCATACATTCACCACACATCCAAGATAGTTGCAAGGTTCTAAAATACTTGATTTATGCTATAAATACTTGCAACATCCAAATATCAACATTATTCATAATTTCGGCTCACTCTAAGTACTTACATGCAAAAGTTTAGTTAAATTGCATGTAATGAGGCCTTGAAATATGCAATATTTTATACTCATCACTATGTGTTCTTTGGTTTCAAATGATATATATCAAGGTGTGTTAGACCTCGATTGGATTAAATGATTAAAAGATCACGGGTTACACGTGTGACTTAAAATCCCGGACAAAAGGGC